GACATGTTAAAAGTGACTTATAAGTCTGGAATGCACTGAGTCGCTGCTACTTCAGTACATTTGTTTAAAAATTAAAAAAAAAAAAAGCTGGCACACTTTAACTCATGACTGCATGATGCCATACATTATACGGTTTTGGCCCTTTCATCTCTTTGTATGTGATTGATACACTATTAGGATTGCCTTTCATGTGTTACAATTTAATGTTGCTTTAATGCTTTAATGTTTGAAGGCTCGCAGTGGCAAGAAATAATAACTCCCCTCAAATGTGTTAAATTGAAAGTAACAAACCTGTTTTGAAAATGTAAGAAAGTGAAAGCACAGATAGCTGTTTAAAAATGTATCGAGTAAAAAAAAAAACTCAGGTAAAGTACAGAACACAAGAATGAGGCGATGTAATGAAATCTATACCATAGGAGCGTCTATTAAAAATCTCGCTCCACGTGGTGACAAAGAAATGGTCAGTGAGAGATGAGGAAACAATGACATCCAGCCAAAAACTAAAATTGGAGCTCGGATAGAGAGCGTTCACATCTCAAGCTTGTCAAAGGTAGAATAAAAGACCAAAATATATCTTAATTTAAGATATGTCAGCCTACCAGGCTAAATTACCCAAATTCTGAATATGTTTTAAGCAGTGCTGAATAGAGCAACGATTCTGATTGTTCTGTTTTTGTGCTCTAGTTTTAATTATATTCTGTGCATAACAGTCACACAGTGATTTATGGAGTTAATTTGTTTGCTTGAGTTTTTCAACATAAGTGATGTTTTTGTGCTGATGACTGCACAGGCCAAATAAAGCTGCAAGAAATCCGAGTTAAAAATCAATATCAAAGTACTTTAGCTCAGCATAAAACCCCTAAATGATAGCATATGCTAAACATGAATGTAAACCCAGAGCTGGTTGGCTTTCCAAACATTTTTAAATAGGAGCTCTATGCCAGGCTGTTGCAACTGAAGATAAAACATGTAAAAAAGCAATGCTAAACTTGCAATAGCTGAGCATAACGAATGCAACAGCAACAAAAGTTTATCTGGATGTTTCTGGGCTTTCAAATGAAACTGTTAGCAAAGAAGGCTGTTGCCTTTTTTTCCCATTTCTAATCCACACACACACACACACACACACAGAGCATGGTCCATTTAAATGTAAGAGCAGTTTGTTTGTATCCCATGAGTTTTTCTTTCCTACTCAAACATCACGTCTCCTTCAGTTCTAGTTTATCTTCACATGAAAATGAACTCCAGCCTGTTTCTGTCAGCAGCTCTTGGTGAAAGCTGCCACTGCAGCTCTCAGCTGCCTCTATACACCATAATTGAAGCCATTTGTGGATCAGGTGGAATTCTGGGATTTTGGCCTCACCTCAAAATCCCAAAGCGTGTTATTTTCTCTCTTTTCTTTTCTCGGGCCAGTAGGACTCTTACATCAGCCTCCGTTTCCTCTCGCTCTCTCTTTCCTTCTGCGTCTCTTCCTCTCCTCTCTCTCCTTTCCCCTCCCTTTGCTATTCCAGAAAGAAGTCCTTCAGAGGCAGAGGTCACAAACTTGTGGTCCTGAATGCATCGGCGCACAACAGATGTGGAATATTTCCCGAGAAAAACGGTTTGTTTTGAAGTTTAAAAGTAAGTCAAACGTATATTTTTTTCTTTTTTTTACATATGTGGCTACTAACTCAAATGTCCACGTAGACATTGAGGGAATTTAGTGTCAGCTTGCCTAAGTTTAGTGAGAGACAACATGAAGGAAGACATTCACTAATTAATCTTATGTTCAAGTAAAAGTAGCAACTGGCTGATACTCAGTAAGGAATCAGTTACTGTAAAGTTACTCACTGATTATAAAAACGCCTCTAGTGGAATGAGGGCTC